AATTGCTTATTGTGGAAACTTTGCTGTACTCTAGCGAAGACGGTGAGTTTGTGCTGGTTTTACCACTCCAAGAGTCACAAGTTGGATTAGTCGACTACTGTTCAATGAAAAAGGGATGCGATGTCAGTGCATTATACGCTTAAAGTAAAACAACATGTCGTGAATGGGGCTCCACAACTGGTGGATCCGAAAACCCTTCTCCTCGCACGTACACGCCAAGTATATCGCGCCGTGATTCCTCTTTCGGTTAGAAAATTTAGGCCATACGAATTCTTCGCCGATTCATTCAAAATTTCTCTAGTGGTCATCTGCAACGGAAAGTGTGCGCTTTATTGCGTCGGGGGTACATGTGAATTCTCTATGAGGCACACTTCTCATTGTTCTACACTTATTTAATCTAAAAAGGTCAACGCTTACTCTCAAATGCATGTTGCACGTACTTGAACGAGACAAAACCAGTTGGCCGTTCCTTTTGTAAATCTAAATCCAACAGTCGATCTGGGCGAGCGAGAATATGAGTTAACTATGATGAAATATCTTGTTGAAATACTTGCGTTCCGTCTACTAGTTGCTTCACCTACTGCCGCCGCCACTTCACCCCGTCAGCCACTCATAGCGGCAGGAGTTGTGCCTTTCCTGTGCTATCATACTCGCCCGTTACCTGGAAGCCTAGCTGGCACGCGCTCTGCTGCACTATTGGCTCGGAGACACTTCCTTGATTGCGCCGGACGGGGATTGGCAGTGAGGTCATCGTCAGGGATCGGTACATGTTGGCCGCTGGTGCTGTTGCTCTGGCTGTATCGTCTGGAATCTTAGCGCCCAGCGCTCAACATCAACAAATAACCAAGTAATAACAGTAGACGTCAACTCAGTTGCAGTGGCTCCTGCAATCTCAGCAATGGGTTTTATCTTGATTCTGGTGACGACGAATGGATGAGTTTGGAAAAAGGGTGCACGAATTAAGCTCTCATTGTTTGACATGTCGTTTATTAAAAAAAAAAAGAACGAAAAGTAACGGCGTGACATCTTAGAAGTTTCTTTAAGGGTTGGGATGGCTAAAAGCCTAGTCCAATGACCAAGCGTTATCAGATAAACGTGGTAGAACACAAAGTCGTGCTACGCTCGTAGAAAATCCGAACATAGCAGAACTTTATTCATTTTATTCACCCAAGTTTCAAAAGTTGGCATTTCGATTGTTGGCACATCTCCTGCGACCGCTTCATGCAAATTCAGCCACAGCGGTGTTTCAGGGGCAAGTTAATGACGTGAGATACTTATCTGAATTCGAATAAACTGCGGCTTTGTTGCTCGTCAGGAATCCTAAGTAAGACTTGCTCGATATTGTAAACTGTGAACCACCATTTCAACAACAACTAGCAAGTCCAACGTTAAGTAAAATAGTTTAGTCGACGTTCGACAGTTGATATGATACGTCGCGATACCTAGACGCCGACGAGAACGTACCCAAACTACTTTAACTAAACTGTCGCTAACGTCCACTTATGTAACCAACCAGTTCAGGTTACATAAATAAATAAGACAGAGCGACAATTCGAAGTGTTAATAAAAAAATACAACATT